CTTTTCTCATGTCTAAGAAACATTCCAACTGTACTTCCAAGACAGATTTGTTTGTTCTTCTGGCCATCCATGATACAGTCAATATTCTTGGCTAACACCCAATTCAAATGCACCAATTCTTCTGCAGGGTTCCTTATTCATTGTCTAGATGTCATATGCATATGAGGCTATAGAAAAGACCATGGCTTGGGTCAGTCACACCATAGTCTTCAAAGTGACATCTTGGCTTTTTAAAACTTCAATGAGGTCTTTTCCAGCAGATTTGCCCTGTGCAATACAACATATAATTTCTTGACTGTTGCTTCCATAGGTGCTGATTGTAGATCCTAGTCAAATCCTTTAGAACTTCAATCTTTTCTCTATTTATCATATTTTTGTTTATTGGTCCAGTTGTGAGGCTTTTTGTGTTATGTTGAGGTGTAATTCACACTGAAGGCTACAGTATTTGAACATCAGTAAGTGGTTAGAGTCTTCTTCACTTTCTGCAAGCAAGGTTGAGTCATCTGCATATGACAGGTTGTTGAGTATTCCTCCAATTCTAATGCCATGTTACTCATCATATAGTCCATCTTTGCAGATTATTTGCTCAGCATGCAGATTGAATAAGTATGGTGAAAATGTTAAATACTGATGCACACCTTTCTTGAATTTAAACCATGAAGTATCTCCTTGTTCTGTTCAAACAGTTACCTCCTGGTCTATGTACAAGTTCCTCATAAGCACAATTAAGTGCAAAGTATGAAATTCCCATTCTTTGCAATGTGTTGATAATTTATTAAGATGCACACTGTTGGTTGCCTTTGCATAGTCAATAAAACAAAAGTAAACATCTTTCTGGTATTATTTGCTTTCAGCCAAGATCCATCTGACATCAATAATAATGTCCCTCGTTTCACATCCTCTTCTGAATCCAGCTTGAATTTCTGATAGTTCCCTGTCAAAATACTGCTATAACTGTGTTTGAATTATCTTCAGTACAATTTTACTTGTGTGTGATATTAATGATGTTGTTTGATAATTTCTGCTTTGTGTTGGATAACATTTCTTTGGAATGGGCACAATTATGAAACTTCTCGTCATTTGGCCAGCTAGCTGCCTTCCAAATCTCTTGGCTTAAATGAATGATTGTCTCCAGTGCTGCATTTATACATTGAAAGATTCCAATGGGTGTTCCATCAATTCCTGGAGTCTTTTTCTCTGCAATGCCTTCAGTGCAGTTTGGACTTCTTCCTTCAGTATCATCAGTTATTGATCACATGTTATCTCTTGAAATATTTGAACACTGAATAATTGTTTTTTGGTACAGTGACTCTGTGTGTTCCTTCCATCTTCTTTTTCTGCTTCCTGCATTGTTCAAAATTTTATTCATAAACTCGGAAAAAAAAAAAAAAAAAAACACTGCTATTGAAGAAACCCCTTTGGGTTTTCTAGGTGGTAAATCTTTACAGAAGTAGATTGCCCAGTCTTCCTTATCTGGAGTGGCTGGTGGCTTTGAACTGTGAATCTTCTAGTTAGCAGCCAAATGCCTTAGGCACTATGCCACCAGAGCTCTTTATTTTACCCATTGTTGTTGTTGTTATGTGCCATCGAGTTGGACCGGACTCATAGCGACCCCTGCTTAGGTTGCTGAGGCAGTATCACTACGGAATTAGATTGCCCAGCCTTCCTTCTGATGAGTGGCTGGTGGGTTTGAACCACAGAATCTTCTAATTTTGCAGTTTGAGGCTTGAACTTTTTCTTCAGTTCTTTCATTTTGAGAAATGCTGAGAGTGTTCTTCCCCTTTTATGTTCTAACTCCAGTTCTTTGTGTATTTCATTATAATACTTTATTTTGTGTTTTTGAGCTTCCCTGTGAAATCTATTCAGCTCTTTTTCTTTGTAATTCCTTCCATTCTCTTTAGCTATTCTCCATTCAGTAGCAGATTCTGAGTCTCTTCTGAGATCTATTTTGGTCTTTTCTTCCTTTTCTGTCTTTTTAATGACCTGTTGCTTTCTTCATATCTGAAGTCCTTGATATCATCCCACAACTCATCTGGTCTTCAGTCCAAATCTATTCTCCAAGTGGTTTCCAAATTTAGGTGGGATATTTTCAAAGTGGTATTTTGGCTTTTGTCAGTTTGTTTTGATTTGCTTCACCTTGAAGTTAAGGTTGCATGCGAGCAGTTGATAGTCTGTTCCACGGTGGGCTCCTGGCTTTATTCTGACTGATACTGAGCTTTTCCTTTTTCCCTTTCCAGAGATGTAGTCTAATTGATTTCTGTGTATTTATCTAGCAATGTCTACACGTATAGTCACTGTTTATGTTGATGAAAAATATATTCATAATGAATAACTCAATGGTTTTGCAAAATTCTATCATGCAATCTCTGGCATCAATTTTATCACAAAGGTCATACCAACTATGGTATGCATCTTTGTTTTCAACTTTCTCATCCCAATCACAAGTAGTTATCAATGCATCTTGATTGCACGATTGATCAATTTCAGATTGCAAAAGTTCATGAAAATCTTTCTTTTCTTCATCTTTGGCTTTCACTGACAGCATTGTACTTTATGATGTTGTTGCTGCTAGATGTTGTTGATGGTACTTTATGATAGACTTTGAAATGTTCTTTTTGACAATGAATGTGACACTGTTGTTGCTGTTGTTAAGTGCCGTCGAGTCGTTTCTGACTCACAGAGACCCCATGCACAGCAGAAGGAAACACTGCCCGATCCCGCGCCAGCCCCACAATCTCTGCTATACTTGAGCCCATCATCGCAGCCACTGT